AGATGACAAAGTCGACGTCCCAACCGCACCATTTCAACAGTTGGCTACCGATTCTGTGATTCTTGCCATGGGCAAGAACATCTCGGAGTAGGTTTCGGAGGAATCAAATCCCACCATGTAGTACGTGATGTTTTCTCAGGCGTCCGTCTTGCATACCCTGTGAGTAGGCGAGACACACAAGCGCATGTTAACAATTTCCGTCAGTTCATGGGCCTTCGGGCCACTGATTCGCCGCCAGCATGTCTAATAAAAATGGATGCGGCAGGAGAGCTTGAAGGAGCGGCCCATGAAGTCGGTCTCGTCCGAGAGACAAGCTTGCCTCACAGGTGGCCTCACAATACCATCCTGGAGCGCGACGTTCGTGAAGAGAAGGAATGCTGTCGCAGCATTCACTTGCAATCAGGGTTGCCCTATTCGTTGCACACGTTTAGCTACCCATTTGCATGCCTCACCATGTCGTTCGATAGGCCCAAAACCCAATGGGAAGCTCTCACAAAGGAAAAGTTCCAAGGGAAGAGATGCTGTTTCGGGCAATTAGTTTGGTACAGAACCAAGACTCCTGGCAAGCGCACTCTCGATCCGAACATGGCGCCAGCGCTCTTTTTGGGTTGGAGGGTCGATCCGGGGTTGCGGTACCGTAACGTTGTCAAAGTCATGGACTATGAAGCCTTCCGTAAAGATGGTTCCATTTCTGTTCACAATGTTCCTGAACCGGAATTGTTCGTTGAGGACGGACCGCCAAGCTTTCCGATCGCAGCAGCAGCAGATAGAGCATTGCATGGAGGCAAGACGGAAGGGTCAGAGCCCCCACCTTTGCCCCTGCGAGAGGCACCCTTTGGGGCCCCACCGACTCCATCCGCTGTCAAATCAAAATCCGTGTACATAACTGTTGAGAGGATCATCAAGTTCAAGGAAACGCCAGGTTGTCGTGCATGCACCGGTCATTCCAAGATTCACAGTGCCGAATGCAAGAAGAGGTTCTCTGAACTTGTTTCTGCAGATAGGGCTGAAGCAGCTGCAAAAAGCGCTGCCAAAAGTGAGTCCAAGGAACCCATTCCCATTGGTCATACCGAAGGGGATGAGGAGATAGCCAGAGCAATCCACGCATCCGAGCATGATAAAGATCCTAAGATCGCAGTTAGTGCAGAAGACGTAGCGCATGAATTCGACGCAGCCGAAGCCGGGGAGCCAGCTCCCTCAAGACCCGGTGCCTCATTTTTCGATTCCGCGCCAGCGACAGCCGCTACATCGCAAGGTGAAGATTTTTGGCTGTTCAAAGAAAATGCCAACTGTTTGGTTCGGTACCATATCATGCCAAGGCAGAATCTTGTTACCCCAAAGGAGGTCGAGGATTGCCCCTTTTCCCCAGAAAGGTTCACTGCAGCTCGCACCACTCGTGCCGTGTTTCAGGGGGGCAAAGCAGACAACATCCACGATGGTTGGTTTGGTAGCCGACCTAATCGCTCACTTGGGGGTTCATGGACCGGGCTCACAGTGTTCAAGTTAAAACCCATTCAGTCCGATTGCGTTATCACCACAGGTGCAGCCGTGGTGTTAGACTCCGTACCGCCGACACCTCTCACCGAAGCGTCAAAGAACGGTCGTCCAGATACATTGCCAATTTTTGGCATGCCGTGCAGCGCAGAGGTTGAAGCTCCGCCGCCCAAGCAATTTGTGGTAGGAAATCATCGTGCCCGCAAACGCCAGGCACGCATGGATAAGTTGCCTGTGATGTTTGAATACGCATGCTCACCAGAGTCCAATATGGGTCGCGTGTTTGCAGGTCTTGGCATACCGCATGTCAGCCTGGCTAAAGAGTTCATCGACCTTAGCACAGATGAAGGAGAAATCCAATTGCAGTCACAGATAGAAGGTTGTGATAAACCCAATCTCTGGGCCGCAATTCCCTGCGCATCCGGATCAGCATGGCAACGTCTTAACAAGGCCAAGCTAGGAAGCCAATTCAAAAAGAAATTGAAACAAAAGGTTAGAGATTCGAGAGAGTTGTTCTCCAGATTCAGACGTCACGCTAATACTGTCCTCCATCAGGGGGGTAGTGTTTCGTTTGAGTGGCCAAGGGATTGTGACAGCTGGGCTAGGGATGATGTTGCCGCATTCTTTAGGGAATACTCACAGGTCTTCACCCCAGCGACCTTCCACGGTTGCGCCCTAGGTCTAAAGGACAGCAACGGTTGCCCCATCAAAAAGCCATGGAAAGTCATGACCAGCAATGGCACCCTCGCATCGGCGCTAAGCGCGTTCAAGTGTCCGCACGAAAAAGGGTTTAATCACTCGCTTGCAGCAGGTAACAAGACCGCAAAGACCGCTTTCTACCCCGAAGGCATGTGTCTCACAGTTGCCCGTGCGCTGTATCCGACAGTAGGACCCGTTGTGCCTGCGATGCCTGTCCATGTGCCATTGCCTCTCGACCACCGGGAACGTGAACAGCAGCTAAAACACATATCCCCTCTCTCCGGTTTGGAAGATATAGGTATTGCTGTCGAGTCCGATGAAAAGTGTCACGACATCCTCGAACAAGTTCTTGATGTTGAAAATCTCATCGCACATTCCCTAGGACAAGTCAAGGAGGAGAAGGATCCTGAAATCACCGCAATGGTGACTAGACTCTTGTCACGTGCTGAAATGTTGGCTTCCCCGGAAGCCCTTGAAGCCGTTCGACTTGAGGCCACAGGCCTGGAGAAGGCCGGTGTTTGGGATCTAAATTCAGTCCGAGAGTACGATCAAGTCGCTGCTGAGGCGCGACGATCCAGTGTAAAAGTTCACTTCGGGCAGTTGATGTCGCTAGCATCCGTCAAGTTCGCCGAACTCGCGAAGCACCTTCAAAAGATGAAAGGTAGGATAGTGTATCGCGGAGACTGTGCGAAAGACGAACATGGTGCAGCGGGAGCGTACAAGGTCTTAATAACTGTCTCGCTTACGGATCCCTGCCAGGGAATTCCACCACAACAGCGGACGCTATAAAGGCTTACGTACAAGCACTGCTGAAATCCAAGTATCAAACTTGGATCACACTCCCGCCTGAGCTCCGGCCAAGGTGGTGGCGCGAGCGTTTCGTGAAACCTGTGGTTTTGCTCGGTAAAGCTCTTTATGGGCATCCTGACGCTGGCGGACTCTGGGAGGCACACCTCAAAGGTTTCATTAGTGAACTTGGAGGTCGTGAAGTTGCAGAGTTTCCTGGAAACTTCTGGTTCAAGGAGTCCGGGTTACTTCTCTCAACATACGTCGACGACTTGACGTTGGCCGGCCCCAGCCACCTTCATAAAGACTTCTGGGAAAAGTTAACAAGACTGGTAGACATAGAACCCCCAGAAGACATATATCGGGTGCTAGGCAGGAATCACCGTTTGATAAATGCTCCGAAGGACCCAGTTGAACCTGATCTTAATGCCGCAATGGGCAGATTGAAAGGGGGCATGGCGTTCGACATGCGAGATTATGCTCGTCAAACGGTTGCGTTATATCTTGAGGTTGCACAGCTAAAAACTGAAAAGTTGCGTGATGCCACCACTCCATTCTGTCCCGCTGGATCTTTAGACCCTGCAGATGACGCCTTGGAGGGTGAGCTCGGCTTCGCCGCTTGCCGCGTGTTGATGAAGGCTTTATGGTTGGGGCGTTTGGCACGCCCGGACCTGGTCAAGCCGATTGGCGACCTTGCTTCCTTTGTTCAGAAATGGTCTAGGAACTGCGATAAGCAGTTACACAAGCTTGTCTGCTACATTAACAGCACGGTGAACAGCACCCTAGTTGGCACAGTTCAGGATACGACTGATGAGTTGCATCTGTCTCTCTATGTGGACGCAGATTTCGCTGGAGAACGAGACGCAAAATCAACGTTCGGAGGCTTCTTGGTTTTGAGTGGCCCACATACGCACTTTCCCCTCGCGTGGGTGTCGAAAAGGCAGACCTCGGTCTCCCGATCGACGACCGAGGCGGAAATAGTGTCTCTTGCGTACTCCCTGTACCAGGAGGCACTACCTGCGCTCAGCTTATGGGAGCTGATCTTGGACAGGCCATTCCATCTCAAGATCCATGAGGATAATCAGGCGACCATCCTCGTAGCAAAGAAGGGTTTCTCATCCAAGCTACGCTGTGTACAACGCACGCACAAGGTGAACCTCGCTTGCATTGCAGAGCAGCTTGAAAGCGAACACATCTCAATAGAAGATGTCCAAACAGACATGCAGTCAGCAGACATTTTCACTAAAGCACTTCCTCCCAACAAGTGGGACCATGCATCAGGTTGCTAGGCATTCGTGTTGACCTTCCAGAGAAGCTTGAAGATGTGCGTGAAAGTAGATCCGCTAAAGCAGCCGCATAGTGCGCTGCAGCATGTCCGCAAAATTTCCAAAAGTGTGCAAGTGACTGGGCGATGCTTGAACAACTTGCGTCAGTCGTTGTGATGTAAACTTGACTTCAAGTTGGCGTGGTAATGCGCCCAAGACACTCCCTCAGTGCCGTCAATGAGGGGGGAGTCAATTATCACGATGACATTTATGGCCCAGAGGTTCCATGAGTTAGATGTACATGCAACATGTTGTACAAAAAATGCAAGGCTGAAGCATGACATGATCACATGTCGTTTTGGCTCAAGGAAAACAGCGCGTTGCACGCGCTGCCCACAAGTTAAGGGAGAGGTCGCAGTCACGGCGGGGTTCGTTCCTTTTAAGGTCCCGGGTTCCCCCGTTGTTGAGAAAACTGTGTTTCCCTCTCCTTTGAGTTCTCCATTGTTGATGTTTTCAATGGCGCACCCTGTTAGGCTTGATTTACGGACTCAGGGTTTCACGATAGCTCCTTGTGTCCAAGTCTTCCAACGCCCTTCAGTCAACAACTTTCCAAATGCAGGGTTCTGTTTTTCGATTACGCCAAGGTGGACTAGAACCCAGGGGTTTCCCTTTTGGGGAAATCAAACCCTTGGTTTGAGTCTACTTTAGGGTAGTCTAAAACCGGAATCCTGTCCAAATGTGCATGTGTAATTGAAGGTTCACATCTGATCGGCAGCTGCTTCCCGAGCACCCAGACCTCTTCCTCCATGATGAGACTCGGTTGGATGAACGCCCAAAAGGGCTTCCCTTTTTTTTCTTTTCTCCTAGTCATGCCAGGTGGGTCTGGCTTTCAATTTCAGCCATGTCCAAGTCTGATCCTTTAGACACATGCTGGGCGATTCCCGGCATCAATGGAAGCCCAGCATGGAGCGCACAACGTGTGAGCGTGTGGTTGCCAAATTGGGGTGGGGGGGGGTGGGGCGAGCTCTTCGGTCCTGGTCTGGGGTCGGCCTTGTCAAGGCTGTATCCCGGACCCCGCGTCAAGGCCCTTTTGATTTGTGGTCGGAGTTAGCTTGAGAGTTGCTTTGGTTCTTGGTTTCTTCTTTGGGCTTGTGTTGAATCGACCAGAAACGGCTTGGGGTCGTCAGGCGGAGCCGTCCAATACTAAATGAGCTTAAAGGCCTCGCCCCGTGCGCAAAAACACCTCCACGAGATGCGCCTAGAAGTGGCAACCAACAGGTGCTGTAATTGGATTCCAGAAAGGGACACACGAGGACCCCTGTAAGAGGAACATGTACGGCCTTTAAGGAAAATGTAGGAACCCCATAGCTATCCCAACTCAGTTTGTTGCTTTGAGAGGGAATCCTTGGGCCCCTGTGTTTTTCTCCATCGGGGGACTCGGGGATCCCTGAACTCGCCAATTTTTCCTTTAACTCAAGTCAACCGACCCAGCTGCTAGCGAGTGGTGTTGAGGATACCCTGCGCGCCCTAAATATTGACCTCACAGAGACCAAGCAGAAAGTGGAGTTGCAGGTGCCAGGGGTCCGTGCGCTGCAGCTGGACGACCTGGTTCACTTCAAGGAGGACCTGAGAGCAACTTAATGTTGACCTTATATCAATCAACCCTACCCACCCCATAGTAATCAACCTTGGGGTTCTCTTCCAAAAGTGGTGTGATCCATTCCCCAAACCCAGGGAGAAACACCTTTCTATGAACTAAATCTGGTTGATAAATAGGGGGTCAGCAGCACACTCGGTTTGATCCTTGGGTGGCGCTCTGACCCCGTTTAATCAATCCCCTTTTTGTGAGATGGGCGTGTGCCACAATATGAAAACCCCCAACAAGCCCAGTAGAGTTAAAGAGGCAACTCATCATGATTTATCTTACAGCTCCCGTGCTTTTCAGGTTGCATGTGTTTTGGTGCCGTTTTCTCATGTGCCACAGCAAAACGATCACTTCAGGAGCTGGAGGAGATGGCACATCTACAGCCTGACGTGGAAGAGAACCGGCGTCTGAAGCACCTCTGGCGCTTTATTGCTAAAGGAGCCAAAGGACGGATTCCTGGGCAGCTGACAGGTTGGGAGCTGCTTCCGGTCTGCAGCACAGAGGCGAGGCGTTTGGCGGTGTCCTTGGACAGAGTGGGGCAGACGGTGCTGTGCTCTCAGAAGCACGAGGAGATCCAAGATGCTTTGCTCCAGGCGGGGATTTACATCCTGCAGACGACCTTGGAGGAGTCCGCGCTGCGCCTGCTTGGGTCGCAGGCAGGAATGTTTCAAAAACGAGCGAGTGGGAAAGCAATGCGCAGCGATCTCTGTCTGGTCACTTGAGAGTATTCACTGCATCAGTATTCTGCTTGAATAACGGACCTAAAACTCTGCCCGTCAGGGGCCGCAGCCCTGTTGCAGGTTGTCAGCCAAGACTCAGATTTGCTTCGGCTTCTGGTAACTTTCAACAGGAGTGGCGGCCTGTCTGAACTGTCTGGAAAGAATCGTCATGCTTTGCTGGCCTTCTTCTCCAAGCTGGCTATTGATGGTAAAACGCCGCTGATGCTCGGATCCGTTTGCGAAGAGCCTTTGGAATGGTGTTGTTGTGTTGCTGTTGTTTGGGTGTGTCGGGGGTCCGTTTAGTCTGCAGTGTTTTGTTTCTCCGACGGCATTTCCTGATGTGCTTTTATGATGGCTTCAGCGTAAGTGTTGCTGAAGACCAGCTGTTCTGTGAATTGGTGGGTTTCACCACATTTCCGTGCGTTTGAAGCATAGCTATCAGGGGAGCTCAATTGATAAGACGTTAAAGTTGCAGAGGGTATCAGAGAGTCATTCTATGAACTGCCTTTGGCAGCATGTTTGTCTTATGTAAATAATGTGCTCCTGCAATTGTGCCATTGCCAGTGCCATGCAAGCTGTGAAGCCGGCCTTAACGGCCAGAAACTAAAACGGATACTGTTACATGCTAAACATGCCAGACCGATTCCGGAGAAAGCCATTGGCTGGTGAATTGGAATCAGGATGACAGTATCGCCAGAAACAAATTGTCAACTGAATTTTAAGAAGCTTGATTTCCACTGACTATGGTCCCAACAAGCGATCGCCCTCTATTGCCAGGTATTTTTGGGCAGGTATGATTTCAACCCACAAGACCGCCTGTAAAAGGTCTTGCGAGCAGGACCCGGTACCTCCCTTGGGGCTGGCTGCAAGTCCTTTATTGAACAGCCAGGGAAAAAAACAACTATGCCCAAATGGACATGCCTCAAAATGGGGGGGGGAATCCCAAGATTGCCACAGAGGCGTCTCACGACATTTAATGCTCAATTTTCCCACACGTGTTTACTGACCGTCTGACGCGCCTTCACCCGGCAATTTCTTGGTATTCGCGCACAAAGTGAATAATCCATGCCATGGTACTGGATAAGATGTGTCCACGCTGAGGGGTGCTCTAAGCAGGATAGCGGGCCTCTCAGAAGCACCAGCGGTTGGGGGGGACAACCCAAGCACAATGACTCAGCTTGTGCCTGGCAAGCAGACACACCTCCATGCAGGTGCATGAACTCTAGCCCTTCAAGCGAAAAATTGCATGAGTGTAGCAGCGAGAGGTGTTGCGAATTCCCCACTGCGCCGCAACTCGTCCCAGGACCGAAGTGCGTGAACTGCCTCTCTTCAAGATGGCCCAGGGCAGCAGCTTCACTAGCCTGCTTGCCGACCAGAAACTCGGCAGACCGTGCCGAAGCGGTTGCGCTAAGCAAACATGGATTTCTCGCTTTCGATTCTTTAAGGGCCTTAAGGGAAGGCATGATGATTTTCGGACAGCAGGCGTGACTGGACATGCGCGAGGCCGCCCTGCCCGAAACCATCCATGTCTCAAGCGGGGGTCCACGTAAGCATTGTTGTCATTGGTTAGGCGACAGGATGTGCTCGTCAGGCTTCCTTCAAGATACGCCCTAGTTCTTGTCAACACCTGAACCAAGACCTGTGAAGACATTCAAAGAGCCGTACCATCAAGGGCTGACCGGCCTTGTTTGGTTCAATGGAGCTCAACCTTTGAGCGGTGTCTTGAGCCTTGTAGGGCCCTTCCTCGAATGCCTTCTTTTGCAGGGCAGAACCATGAACATACCTGTCGCCCACAAGGAGGTCTTCTGTTTGTGCGTTTTTCTTCTTCTTTTTCTGTGACTGTGTGGGGCTTTTCGGCGGGATTCAATTTTTATTGCGGGGTTTGGGGTTTGCAGGGTCGCGGGCTTAGATGTTTGAGGCGTTTTTTGGGTCACACGGCGCGAGCCACCCAGCTGCTTGGCACCTGCCATGATTTTGAGAGGTTCTGTTGCCGCGACGGCGGGCAACAGTACTTTTGTCAGTAGAGTTAACAGGCTAGGGCGTAGGTTGCAATGCAATCGCATACTAATGGGACCACCAAATCCACCAAGAAGGTGCAGCTGAAGTGAGCTTCCTGGACGTTCAACCCGGTCGCGACCCCGTTCTATATAACAGGACCGCTGTTCCACTAGACTAGGATAGCACTTCTGTGCGGGGATCAATGCTGTTTGGCTTGAATGCACTTTGGTTTGAATGCACTTTGTGCAGTTGGAGTGTATGGATTCAACAGAAGTTCAGATGACTGCTTGCTTGCTCGGGCCGGCAAAAGGCAGGGCTCTTTGGACTCATTTCCCGGTCGGGTGACGGGGTGAACAGGTGACGATTTTGAGGGGAGAGGTCGGTTTTTTTGATGTGGTTCAGCCAGGGCATTAATGACTGTGTGGATTGCGTCAAAGCCAGAGACGCTTGTTGCAATTGTTGCCTCGAATGACCCCAAGCTGTCACCTCGGAAGCAGGACACGGAATGCTGTAATAGATGCAGTCCCACGGTGCTGATTTCTTGAGAGTTGGAACTCTTGACAGCCCCTTAAAACCCAACGGAAACCCTAGTCAATCAAATGACGGCATTTTTCTGTGGTCATTTCGCTTCCAGGCCTCTTTCAGGGGCGCTGGATAGGATCATTCAGTTGACGGCCTCCAAGGTTCCTGAAACCCAGCGAGTCTTGGGTTTGTTGTCTTACTTGCACCAAACGGATGTAGCTCAGTCCTAAGACATGGAAGGCTTGGCGCCTGACCTGCATAGCCGCGCTTAGCCCATGTATAGACATATTCGAGACATCGATACAGTATATAGACAACTGATGTAAACATGCTTTCCAGTCGGTTTCTCCATTTGAATCATGTGGGGAGAGCCTCATGAGGTGTGTTTGCTTTGTATCCTTGAGCATCCCAGGGAAGCTACGCAGTACTGCTGCCTGGATCCCCACGACCCGCGGGCTGGGGCGCTGGAGACGTTGAGGCCAAGCAGTGCCGTGCTGTTGGCATGGCCCACAGCAGCTCCGGCTCAAAGGGGAGCAGTTCTGAGCAAATTGCCTCAATCTGCCAGCAGTTGTTTGACTTGGGTGCAAGGAGCGGGGCGCAGTGTTGTAGAGGATTGGCCCCCGTTTTGTTGCGATGGTTTGTGTTTGTGCTTTCGCCGTTGATGGTTTATGTATCTAGATTGCCTTGTGTGTGTGTGTGTGTGTCTGTGTCTGTGTCTGTGTCTGTGTCTGTGTCCGTGTCCGTGTCCGTGTCCGTGTCCGTGCCCGTGTCCGTGTCCGTGTCTGTGTCTGTGTCTGTGTCTGTGTCTGTGTCTGTGTCTGTGTCTGTGTCTGTGTCTGTGTCTGTGTCTGTGTCTGTGTCTGTCTGTGTCTGTGTCTGTGTCTGTGTCTGTGTCTGTGTCTGTGTCTGTGTCTGTGTCTGTGTCTGTGTCTGTGTCTGTGTCTGTGTCTGTGTCTGGGTGTGTGTGGGTGTGCGTGTGCGTCTGTGTGTGTGTGCGTGTGCGTGTGCGTGTGCGTGTGCGTGTGCGTGTGCGTGTGCGTGTGCGTGTGCGTGTGCGTGTGCGTGTGCGTGTGCGTGTGCGTGTGCGTGTGGGTGTGTGTGTGTGTGTGCGTATGTGTGCATGTGCGTATGTGGCATGTGTGCATGTGTGCTTGCGCGTGTCGTGTGTGTGTGTGTGCGCATGTATGTGCGCGTGTATGTGTGTACACACGCACAAACACATAATAAATAAATAAGTAAATATATATATATATATACATACATATATACATATGTATATGCGTGCGTGCGCGCGCGTGGGTGGGTGGGTGGGTGGGTACTGGTGAAGCACCACACTGACAGCTGGGAATGCTAGTGATTGGTGTTTCTCAGTGCGCTGTTCGATGCAGTGTGGCAATAGGCTCCTTTCTTGGTTGCCTGGGCTATGCCTAGGGCCCCGCACTTCGAACCCGTTTCGGATCCCGCAACATATTCCATTTCTGGAAGGGGGGGCCTTCAACTTCGACCGACCCCACCAAATGCCAGCTTTGGCAATTGCTTTTTCCCCAGGCAGCGGACAGCTGAAAGCTATAGGGGGTTATAGTTTCAAGTGAAGAAGGGGTAGGTGAGACTCAGAGTTCCGGTCAGGTGATGTTACAGGGTGCTGTTGCATGGTGCTGCTGCCGGCAGGGTTCTGTTGCAGGCCGAGACTCAGAGTTGTGCAGGATGCTGCTGCAGGGCTGAGTTGCGCAGGGTGCTGTTGCGGCGTGCCTGGTCCCGGCGCCGTAGTCTTCCTGGAGCCTTGTCTTCTGGCTATCATCTTGCGCTGGCGCAGCCATTGGAGAGGCGGTGCGTCAAGCAAATCCACCAAAACATTGGCTCTGAGAGGCAGCGCTTTAAGCAACTCCAACAAATTTCCGGCGAGTGCCAATGCTGCAAAAGCAGTCTACGCCGGCTTTGGCAAGCGAATTGGAGCACACTGTTGTGAGAATTGTTTTGGCTGCCCTGCCCGGGCACGTTGCCTACCAAAACATGAGCTCAGAGGCGGTGCGTAGAACTCCGGCATGTGAGCGCCAATGTTGCGAAAGCAGTGTAAAGAGACTCTGGCTGGCAAATTGCCGGAGCAGCCGCTGTGACATCGCACGTGTGTGCTGTACTGGAATGGGCATCTTTAGCTTGTTGGTTCGCGCCAATTGGGGCCTATGCTGGTATCTTGTTGGCCTCCCAGGCAAGCATTAAGCCGATCTATGAGCATCTGGGCGTGCGCCTGTGCGGCGCCGAGAAGTTTATGCTGGAGTTCATCCTGCCCAACTTAGAGGAGGCCTGCAGCAAAGGCGCCGCCCACGCCAAGCCATATTTGGACCAGCTTCAGGACACGGGCCTTGGATCCCATATGCGTTGAAGGAACAGGTGGACACCACAAGTATGGTGTCAACTGCACTGTCTCTTCCATCAGCAGAGAATTGGGCAGGCTGTGCCTTGAGAGGGATTCCTTGTCATCCGTAAAGACGCCCTTGCGGGACACCCTCCAGCAAGCCTTACCAGATACCGATAGTGCTCTACTGACTTTGTGTGGCATCCGTCAAGAGCAAACACACACCTCAACTAGGATGTTTTAGGAACCTGCCCCCCATTCCTGGTGGCTCACAGGTCCCTGCCAACACCCGCCGGAGGAGTTTGTGTTGATCGACAAGTCCTTGAACATCGAAGCAGCTGCCAGGGAGCTTGCATTTGTGCCAAGCAGGGCAGGGCATGTACACAAGCTCAAGAGCTTTCTGGATCCAGAGCTCGAGCTTTCTCGTTGTTTTGCAGAGTGCTTGAGCAGCTACCTCCCGGTGCAGTGGATGCACCAATACCTGAAATTGCTGCAAAGCCTGGGCATGCGGCGTACGGTTGAACCCGCAATTCTGTTGGAGTGCGCCAGCCATTTGGATGCTTACAAGGACTGTATGGAGGGTAGCCGAAATCATGCTTTTGGCGACTTCCTCAGCTGATCAAAAGCTAAGCTGATTCTGAAATTCTTAACCCAACCCCAAACTCACATCTTGAGCATTAATTCAACCCTAGCCAACCTCAAACACAACGCACGCCACGCAAACCCACGCTGCAGCAGCCCTCAACTCAGCTAAACACCTGCTAAAAGCCACCCGAAATTCAGTCTCTGAGCCACCCTGAACTCTCCCCAAACCAGCAGTAAGCCATCCCTGAATGTGCGCCAACTCTTGCGTGCAGCCGAAGCCGATCCTGCCTCATTCTAAACCCACCCTGACCAGCTCTCAGCCCTTGCTGAAACGACATGAGTTCACCCAAAGCGCCTAAGACAAGCCTGGACAAGCTTGCCCAACCTCCCAAGAGCCATTCACTGCCACACTCTTCATCCTGCCCTCGTCCCAGATGGGGCGCTCGGACCCTTACTCCAAAGATAAACAAGCATGGCGTTGCAACGACTGCTTGTGTGTTGGTCCCCGAGCATGCGTATGTGATTCTCATTTGCAGGGGCCCGAAGGAAAACGCGGCGCAACAACCCAATGCGACACATCCCATCGCCACACATCGCACGCGTTGCCGTCCAACGCATTGCGGCGCATCGACCTCAATGCCATGCAGCGCAATGCAACACAGCGCAACGCGACACAGCAACACACGGCGCGACGCGACACAACGCACGCGCCGCGCACAGCACTGAGCTGCGCTGCAACGCATTTCCACGCACGCGTCCACACATGCAGGCACACACACGCACACGCATACACACACACACACACATGCGCACATAGAGTATTTATGGGAGCCGTCCAATTTGTCGCATGCCTTGCCAGAAGTGTTCCTGCAGGACGAGCAGATGACAACCGCTATCCAAGAGATGTCCGCTTGCCTGGCTGAAGCCTGGGCTCATGCCTTCTCTTTGTACGTGCCTCGGATGAGATCACGGATCATGGGAGGTGGTGGGCCAACGGCTCCCAAAAAGGTCAGAATGTTATTGGAGCGCCGATGCCTCCATCCTCATTTGAATCTAATGTGTAGGCGAAACAAGGGAGGCCATTTTTGAACTGAATTTGAAGCCTTCTTGCGCCAGCCCAGGCCCTTGCCTCTCCGTTTACGATGCACTGCCCCTCAATCCCTCAAGAACATACAGTCGTCACACCTAAAAGCAGTGGATGTTGCAAAAGCACTTTATATGTATTTGAACAGAACGCACAACATGTGCGTGAACCATATTCATTTGTTTTTCTCTTCTTTTTTCTCTTTCAAATGGTTCTACAATGTGGTTACTTTTTTTTCTCCGGCGAGCCACTGGGTCTATGATTTTGATACGTTCGTCTTTTATGATGCCTTGTGTCTCACCAGTTTCCTGCATGGAGCCCGAACAATGGTGGGCAGAGTTTTTCTGGTAAGAGGAAAGCGGCTGCTTTATTGCATTTGCAAGAAAGCAGCTTGATGTGTCTTGCATGAATGCAAACCGTAGCGTTTGAGCGGATGATGTGGCACCTGGTAGATCAGAGAACCAGCAAACTTGCCAGAATCAGCGTTTTGACAGTGTAACAAGTGTAAAGCAGCAGTTTCAAAAATGTGTTACAGGAATTAGTTTAAACTCATACATAAGACGTAATGCATCCATACGACACAAATAATAAGGACAACGTCAGTTTGCCACACAGCGAAGGTCGCAACCCTACCCCCAACAACAAGTGGACCCCAAACACAACTCAAAGAGCGCCTGCTGAAAGCTGGCGAGGTTTTCATACGGTTTCCCTGCGAACCTCAAGTAGGACCAGATGGCACTGCACATGTCGGGTTCTCGTCTATCAAGGCATGCAATGCCTGCATCCCGTGGGGTCAGCTCCATGCTTTGCCAAAATATAGGACTCGTCTCTCAAACATGTTGTGTTTGTGTGACCTAAAGGTCCCGAGCAATCTCTCGGCAAACATCACATGGTTTTCTCACAAGGGAACCATGGCCATGACTCGCGTAAGGCGTGTTGACAATGGCTGAGTTTGATTTTAGCTTGAACTCTGAGAAGGAGGGCCTCCCGTGAAGGTTAGAATGCCACTCCTGCTCTTCACCATTCCAGGGCCCAACATATGGGGCTTTTGGTGAAGCGCTGGGATGAACTGTGGGGAGGCGTTGGGTCTTTCAAGAATGAAAACAAACTGTGTTGACAATAGTCGCAAAGCCCACCAAGGAAACACGCAAGAGAGGGGCAATCCTTCTGTGAAAGAAAGATGGCTCCCTTTGGAGGGGGCGCCCACAGACACACACACACACACACACACCCACCCACGCACGCACGCACGCAGCCACGCATGCACGCTCGCGTGCTCACACACACAAGCACACACAACACAAACACAAACACAAACACAAACACAACACACAACACACAACACACAACACACAACACACACACACACACACACACACACACACACACACACACACACACACACACACACACACACACACACACACACACACACACACACACACACACACACACACACACACACACACACACACACACACACACACACACACACACACACACACACACACACACACACACACACAAACACACACACACACACACACACACACACACACACACACACACACACACACACACACACACACACACACACACACACACACACACACACACACACACACACACACACACACACACACACACACACACACACACACACACACACCACACACACACACACACACACACACACACACACACACACACACACACACACACACACACACACACACACACACACACACACACACACACACACACACACACACACACACACCCACACACACCCACACACACCCACACCCACACACACCCACACACACCCCCACCCACACCCCCACCCACACCCCCACCCACACCCCCACCCACACCCCCCCCACACGCACCCACGCACACGCGCACGCGCACGCACACGCACACGCACACGCACACGCACACGCACACGCACACGCACACGCACACGCACACGCACACGCACAAGCACACGCACACGCACACGCACACGCACACGCACACGCACACGCACACGCACACGCACACGCACACGCACCCACACGCACCCACACGCCAACACACACACACACACAAACACACACACACACACACAC